ACACACACACACACGTGCGCGCGCATATATATAATACATATATGTGTTTGTGTGTATTATACTTGAATGTACATATTAATTTGAATATATGTATAAATATCCATGAATATATATTCAAAGCAGAATATTAAAAGAATGGTAATAACAAAATGACATTAAATTGATATGTCTGCATTCCAAATGTTTAAACAAGGTATAAACAAAACTTTCTGGAGAAGAAGATTCGTATATAAACACAAACTGACCAATAAGAACTTCAGTGATATGGACAGGTTGGAATGTTGTTAGGACAATATTTAGTCCTCATGAACATGCTTCCAGTAGATTACTTCCTCATACTGGGCTATATTTTACCCTCCAATGTTTTTTTAACTCCTCCAATGCTTTTTTAAAAAAATTTATTTAATTTAAATCTATCAATATATATGTTATATTAGAGCCTCCACTACTCAAGATTAATCAAATGCTAATTGTCTACCCCCACATAGAAGTGTGCAATAATAATTTCCTGGAAATTTCTCAATTCTATCAATGTAGGCTTTCATTGAACTGTGTAGATCTTGTCTGCTTGATTTGGTATCCAGGACCAGAAAGAATGGTGCAGACTGTAGTCCAATGTTGTAGACAACCTTTCTTCAGTGTCAGTGTACTCATATACAAGAAAAAAACAAAGAAAGCAATGTTCCATGAAAGGTTGTTTGAGTTAATGAGAAAGCATGATCAGGAAAACCTGCAAATAAATATCATTAAGCACATAATAGGTATTAACACAATAGTCCTTTCCAAGAACTTTCTCAGGACAGACAAATTTTAACACAATTTCCTGATACATACTATAGATTTCATTTGGGAAAGCATAAAGTAAGGCAGAAGGTCATATCCAGATTAAGGATATAATACTAGCCAAATTGGCTTCTGTTGCTATCTTCTGAATTTCAACAAGACTAAAAATGTAATGCAAATTGAATGTAAATGTTTGTTGAACAAGGAATGAAATTGCACAAAAGAACAATTCAGGGAACAAAATTCACCTGAGATAAAAGAACCTCTGCTTTTTTATCTCACCTTTCTCACAGTTTCCAAATGGAATATCCACCATGCTTCATTATTTTGATCATGTTCTGACATTAAGGTGACAATCAATATTAACTAATATATAGATTCAATAATAAGATCACTGGAACACATAATAGAATCCTTATGATGATTTGCCTAATGGTAATACTGAATTTTATTAGAATGGATGGTTTACCTATCCTTAGAAATATATTCATTATGCTAGTTTTGATATACCCTTTATGACTAGTAGAATTGAACATTTTTATCACATACCTATTAGCCAATTGTAAGGTTTAAGAAATATTTAATTCTGTTGAACAATTTTAAATTTGTTATTATGATTCAGTTTTATTAAAGATAATGGATATTTATGTATAATGTTTCTTTTGCTATTTTATTTTGTATTATTTGATTATTGTTATGTCTAGATATTTCTATCAAGGTTATGTTAACAGTGTAGAATATACTTAGGTATAGTTATTGTCTATGAGGTTGTATAATAAAATGAGGAATATTTGTATTGGTTCTTCAAATGTTTGTTAGGATTCAACAATTTGAGTGAGCAGGAAAGCTAAAATACCCACTAACTTTTCAGTTTTATAGTATTAACTTTTATTTCTGAAAATATTATCTTGAATAATTTAGTTACTTGAAAATGTGGTAAATGACATAATTACGTCTGATGTGATTACCTCTACTGATATAAGAGTAGGAGCTCATACAGAAAGCCACATGCTCAAATCTGTACTTACCATCTTCCCACTTCACAGTGACATAGAATAATGACTCTCTGTGAAACATTCATCACAATGGATTTTTTTTTTGACAACTGAATTATTTGGATCCAGTCTGTGTTTAGTCTTATATCATAGAAAGGGGTCAAATGTCCACTACTTTCTTTTTTTTTTCCATTTGTCAAAGGCCAGTTCATACTGTCATCTCCATCACTCATTTGTCACACTGTTGGCAATGCTATTTAGTAGCCTAAGACTTTTGGATAATTGTTTTTACTTGAGGTTGCATACAAACAAAATTTAAGAACACATCAAAACTTATAAACAATGATCAAGAAAGCTTCATCCCAGAGAATGTTAGTTTTCTACTGAGAGGTGGATAGGAGTGGAAACTGATGAAATGGTAGAATGGGAGGAATTGCAAGAGGTAAAGAATGGAAAAATGATAATCAAGAATTATCATGTGAGAAAAATATATTTTCAAAAAAAAAGAAAAAAGAAAATTGTATAATCCAAAAGAGTTCTGTTTTCTCAAAATACCATTTTTTTCTGTTATGAACAACATAGTTATGTGACAACTACCAAAAGTCTTTTATAATAGCTAAGGAATTAAAACAATGCATACTCACTAGGGTGGAAACATTGAAAGAAGGAACGACTTATCCATTGATGCTCTTGTTATGGTTAGACACAACATGGAGAGCACAGAGTAAACAGAGAACAATGTCTCCCCTTAGAGATGAGCTAATGCCAGTACTAAAACCTCCGACACCATAGAGAAATTGTGATATCTTATTGAAAATGTATTTTCTAACAATGTTGTTTTGAAAGATGTCCTAGATGAGACAGAAAAGAAACAAAGCAAATTTTATTTTAATATATCTTCCTCCTCTAAGTTTCTGTTATTTCCTCCTTATCTTCATCTCTCATGATGCACGGTAGCATATTTGAATGTATTTCAGAATACAAAGTTAATCTTAACAATATATCAATATATTTATCCTTATAAAGTTAAGAAGAAAAACTATGTAATTATCTCTATAGTGTCTTGAAATAATTTATATGGGAATAAACAGCTATTTATGATAAACTTCTAAGGAAGCAAAGCATAGTCACAAAAATAACTTGCATGTATTTTTTATAAAGTTCCAGGAAATATCATAGTCATAATGAGTGAAAGAACACTATGCATTTTAATGTCAGAGTACACAAAAATGTCTACTGTCACCACTTATGTCTAAAACAATCAAAAGATACACCAATTATATTAAAAATGAGCAATGAAAGGCATGAAATAAACATTTGCTGATTAGTATACACATTCATAAAAATGAAATCTCAATATAAATATTTAGAAGTAATTACAATAAAATCTATACATAGAAAAGGTGTAGTGGCATTGCACCTATATATAAACAGGCATTCAAGTGAATAGAGATATTATGTGTCATAATATGAGCCAAGATTTAAAAGTATTTTTACATGTGTGAGGGTTTTTAATTGTATGCTTATATGATCATTGCCTGCTTTCAAGGGCAAAATTGAATCTGGATCTTGTGTAACTGAAGTTAAAGAAAGCTAGTTCTGGGTGCTTAGAATCAAATCTAGGTCCTCATAAAGAGCATTGAGTATTATTAACCACTGGTTAGTCTCTCCAGCTCAAATATATGTATATGTATATGTATATACATATATATACATTCTCCAGTTTTCACATAAACTCAATATAATGCAGCTAATATTTCTGAAGAAGTTCCTAAAATTGAATAACTAAGTCCAGATATTACAAATAAAATCCAAAAAAAGCAAAACTAAGAAAATATGTACTACAGAAACGTGATATTACATATTGTGACTTATTTACTTTAGTACAAAATTATAGTAATTATGTCTGTGTGTATAATACATGACAGATAAACACATATATGAATGAGACATCAAAAAATATGCACAAGAACTAGATCTTATACATATACAATTTTTTAAAAAATGAACATAGAACCTTCATCTGGTGATGGATGAAGATAGAGACAGAGACCCACACTGGAGCACTGGACTGAGCTCCCAAGGTCCCAATGAGGAGCAGAAGGAGGGAGAACATGAACAAAGAAGTCGGGACCACAAGGGGTGCACCCACCCACTGAGACAGTGGAGCTGTTCTACTGGGAGCTCACCAAGGCCAGCTGGACTGTGACCGAAAAAGCATGGGTTAAAACTGGACTCTCTGAACATGGCGAACAATGAGGGCTGATGAGAAGCCAAGGACAATGGCACAGGGTTTTGATCCTACACAATGTGCTGGCTTTGTGGGAACCTAGCCAGTTTGAATGTTCACCTTCCTAGATATGGACAGAGGGGGGAGGTCCTACGACTTACCACAGGGCAGGGAACCCTGACTCCTCTTTGGACTGGAGAGGGAGGGGGAGAGGAGTGGGAGGAGGGGGAGAAGGGTGGGAGGAGGAGGAGGGAAATGGGAGGCTGGGATGAGGTGGAAACTTGTTTTTTTTCTTCCTTTTCTCAATAAAAAAAATGGAAAACAAATGAACAAAATTAACGTTATGTCACTATTGTTATGTTGGTATTTTGTTTCATTTCTAAAACTGTGCTATGGCATATCAGTTCTTCAATAACACCACTTATGGAAGCATGATTAAAAGAGCCATTTACTGTGCATAATTTCATACAAACAAATCTACATTTCACTTCACACAGTGGGGTTGAAAGTCATATAAGGGTGGTTCAATTTTTCTTGATACTTAAAAACACACCAGTGGACATGGGAGCCAGAAAAGTCCATGTGTCCTGCAGAGAGTTGAAAGCATCAGTGTCCATAGTGACAATTTCAAGGCACAACAGAATATCGTGTTTAGGCAACCTCTCCTTTCTCTGTCACTTGTGCACTCACTTTTGTAAAAGCAGTAATTCTTTCTACTATCAATTTCTTTTAAATATTTTAAATATTTTTGGCTTGGACTACTCATGGGGAACAATTCTGTTAAGTCAAACAAGGCATTGGTAAGTTGTATTTCTGGAAATGAAGAGGAAGGAAGATATGGTACAGAATAAATTGTTTAGAGTCTTCAAAAAAACAAATGTCTCTCTGTGAGTAAAAAAAAAACTGTGACTTGTGAAAAAAGTTTCAGTGAGTGAGAGATGACATGGAACAGCTAAGACAGTTCAGCCTCTCACTTCTGCTTTCATGTAGGTTTATGTTATGACTTGTATCACTGTGGAAAGATAATTTTTATACTGCTCACAGTAGTAAGTTCCAATGTCTTCAGGCTCTAGACTGCTGATGGTGAGAGTGAAATCTGTCCCATATCCACTGCCACTGAACCTAGATGACACCCCATTTGCCAAGTTGGATACACTGTAGATCAGGAGCTTAGGAGTTTCCCCTGGTTTCTGCTGGTACCAGTTTAAATAGTTACTAACGCCCTGACTGGCCTGACAACTGATAGTGATTGTGTCTCCCAGAGATACAGACAGGGAAGATGGAGACTGGAGTAACTGGATGGCACATCTGACACCTAGAAATAAAGACACAATAAATATTCATGTAATTAAGAATCATAATAAAGAACTTCTGCAAAATTCCTGTCAATTACCACTGTGTAACAATAAAAATCCCATTTTAGTCCTATTTTACCTGGAAACCAGAGCAACAAGAGCCCAAGGAGCTGAACAGCAGCACTCATGTCCATGTTGAGTTCTAACTTCAATGACAACTGCACAGGGTCTGACTTCTATATGAGGAAGTCTTCAAAGCTGTACAGTGATTGCATGCAAATCATTGGAACCAGTTAGTGCTGGGCACAGCTACAAGGTTTACAAAACTAAGCACAATCTCACCATCTCCATGTGCTCAAGATCAAACCCCACAAATACTTACAGAGAATTTATTTTTTTAAGTTTTAAAATTATACATGAAAGTATTTCACAGGCAAACATAAGAGTCAGAGAGAGCCTTCTCTCCCACCGTTAGGAATCTCACAGGAACATCAAACTACTCGGCCATAACATACATGTATAGAATCTGTCAAACACATATAGGCTCTCTGATCTCTGAGTCCACATAAATCCTTGTCAGATGATTCTACAAGCTTAAGTCTTAAAATATTAAGATTGAGAATCAGTCATCCAGAATATCAGTAGTTTCAGAAACAAGGTTGAATGTCTCAATCTTAATATTTGACCTAAGGAGAAATTGATAATAAAGCCAAGTCTACAACTGAGCTAAGGTCTCAGATTTGTGTAGCTAGATCTCTGTAATGGAAAATTAGAAATCGTCAGACATATGCAGCTGTTTGAGAAGAGTCACACATTAATAAGGACCATCTTTTATAGGAAAACAGTGTAAAATATCTTATTATTTTCAGCAGTGGACAAAAAGGGACATCAGTGTGAAATTTGGGGTTAGAGATATGTCACTGAGTATACAAAAGCAATTGCTTTCTAAGACAATATCAGAGACACATTCTTTGAACAACTTTTAGAAAGACTGTGGAAAATCTGCTTGGAATGCTCCTTAATTTACAGAAGTACAAAACACACACAAACACACACCTCTCCTATTGATACTCAAGGGACAGTGATATCTAAGTCTCTCCTAAATAACTAACCCTTTATTATTCATAATTCCAAACTAGTGTGGCCTTGAGATTTTTCTAGATCAAATTATAGGTGAGGGACTTTACTCTGATCTTCAAGATCAAGAACTTTATGATGAATACAACTTGTCCCTATGTAGCAAAGCAGCTTTAAAGGATTGGGACAGGATTCAAGAAGTAGGAAAGAGAGTTGAATCATGTCTTAGGGTTAAACACGGTAAAAGAGAATATTTAGTGACTTTTTACAAATCCTAACTAGGGCTGTACTAATATGGGTAACCGACCCCAAATCTAGACATATATTAATTGAATCTTTGGCTCATGAGAATGCCAACTTAGAATGCAAAAAAGGATCCTTGGGCCTTGGCATTCAATGAATGTCGAGACACTTGACTATGGTACTGAAGCTTGGTAGGAGAAGCAATTTCCAATGGTAAGAGAAGACATCAAAATACCAAATTATTTAATTGTGGTAGAATGGGACATCTGAGAAGGGATTGTAGATGAGGGATTCCTAAGAATAACGTCTCCTCTGGGAATTGCAGGAGTAGAAAGACTCAGCCTTCAGGTGTATGTAAGAGGTGTGGCAAAGGCCAATATTGGATCAATGAATGTTGGTCAATAAAAGATAAACAAGGTAATGTGATACCATCAGGAAACACCATGGGGGACATCTTGCAAGCTCTCAAGATGAATGTGGTCTAGTCATTCCCAGTTACTGTGGAAAACATGTCTCATCAGGGAAATTAAAAAATCCAGCGCCTACTGTAAAAAACAATACTGACCTGAATGATGGAATAAATGTGGAGGATGGATGAGTCAGAAACTCCTTGGGACATAGGAAACATATATTCTGGAAGATTTCTATAAATGATCAAAGACCAAAGCTAAGAGTGTGTATAAATGGCATTTTTATTGAAGGCTTTCAAGACACAGGTATGGATGTAATTATCATTTTTCCAGAATCTTGGAATCTAAATTGGGCTCTTCAAGAGGTAAATGTTCAGTTCCTAAGAATTGGAACCCTATCTCAGGTAAAGCAAAGCATGAGATGGGTTGAATACCTAGGGCCAGAAGGATGGTGAGGAAGACTAAGGCCATATATACCTAATTTTGCAATGAATTTGTGGGTCCACGACATATTGCAGCAATGGAATACTGAGATTAACATTCCATCAGACCCCCCCAAACTTACATTTCTGGAAAAAATATTAAAAAATATTATAGGCAATGGTCACCAGCCACTTGCAATTGATAAACCATCAGAGGTACTGAAGGCCCTGCCCTTAAAATGGCTAACTGAGAAATCAATATAGCTGAAGAAAAACAATAGGCTTTAGAACTGTTGGTACAAAAACAACTAGATGCTCGACATATGGAAGAATCTATAAACCCTTGGATTTCTCCTGTATTAGTTGTTAAAAAGAAATCTGGAAAATGGAGAATGGTAATAGACCTTAGAGCTATCAACAAGGTTATTAAACATGTGGGCCCTCTACAATCTGGAATTCCTCTGCCTTCTCTATTACCAAAGAGATGGCCTTTTGTAGTTATTGATTTAAAGGATTGTTTCTTCACTATTCTACAAGAAAATGATAGAGAAATATTTGCCTTCACAGTACCTACTTATAATAATTAAGAGCCTACTAGGAGATATCAGTGGACCATCCTCCCACTAGGAATGCTCAGTTGCCCCACCCTGTGCCAATATTTATTCAGACATTGGAAATAATATATAAGCAATTTCCTAAATCTATAATCTACCATTACATGGATGACATATTGTTATCTGATTCAAATACAGATACTTTAGAAAGGATGCTTGAAGAAGTAAGAAAGTTTTGCCTAATGCCAGGCGGTGGTGGCGCACGCCTTTAATCCCAGCACTCGGGAGGCAGAGACAGGTGGATCTCTGAGAATTCAAGGCCAGCCTGGTCTACAAAGTGAGTTCCAGGACAATCTCCAAAACTACAGAGAAACCCTGTCACGAAAAACAAAAATAAAATAAAATAAAAAAGAAAAAAAGAAAATTTTTGCCTAAATGGGGATTATAAATTGCCCTTGTGAAGATTCTGTTAATTACCTAGGTTACAGAATAGGATTGCAGAAAATAAGAACAAATTAGGAGAGACCAGTTGTGGACTCTTAATGACTTACTAAGATTATTGGGAGACATCTCCAATCTATGACTGGCTGTAGGGATAACACCTGATCTAAAAATTTATTTAAACAAAACCTTAGATGGTGATAAAGACTTGAATAATTCCAGAGAATTAACACTGAAGCAAAAAAGGAATTGATGACTGCTGTGGAGAAATTACAGGAAGCACATATGGATAGGTTGAATCCAAATCTTAATTATATTCTAGTCATATTGCATTCCAAAATTTCTCCTACAGGAATTCTTTTTTTTAATTTTTTAATATTTATTTATTTATGCATGCAATATTCTTTCTGTGTGTATGCCTGAAGGCCAGATGAGGGCACCATTACAGATGGTTGTGAGCCACCATGTGGTTGCTGGGAATTGAACTCAGGACCTTTCGAAGAGCAGGCAATGCTCTTAACCGCTGAGCCATCTCTCCAGCCCCTCCTACAGGAATTCTAATTCAGAGGGAGGATATTATCATAGAATGGATCTTTTTTACCACATAAACCAAGTAAAAATTAAAAAGTTGTAAAAAAGGTCACTGAATTAATTATAAAAGGTAAATTGAGACCTTGTCAATTAGCAGGAATAAACCCAGCAGAGACCATAGTGCCTTTTATTGCTGATAAAATAAAAAAGTTATAGAAAGACAATGAACTCTGGCAAAGGGCTTGTGTTAATTTTTGGATAGAAATTAATAGAAATTAGTTTAAATGAGATATACTTAACCTTATAAAGAGATCTTCTTGGGTTCTTTCTCAAATTGTACATGATGCACCAATAACTGGAACCCACACATTTTATATTAATACATAAATCAGGGAAGGCAGATTACAAATCAGAAGAATTAATTAAGGTGGAACAAAGCCCTTATAATTCTGTCCAGATGGCAGAATTATATGCTATTCTTATGACACTAAGGGATTATAAAGAAACTTTCAATATAGTTACTGATTCACAATATACATAAATAGTTGTCTTGCATATTGAAACTGCTGAATTTAAATCAGATGATATGGAATTGACTTCATTATTCATCCAGGTGGAAGATATTATCATGAATAGGGTTTGTCCTATATACATAATGCACATGTGATCCAATACGCATCTATCAGGTACTCTAGCACAAGGTAATGCAAAATTTGATCAATTATTAATTGGAAGTGGGTTGCAGGCCTCTTAATTTCATAAAAATATTATGACAATAGCAAAGGTTTGAAAAAAGAGTTTCCTATTACAAGGCAACAAGCTAAGAAGATTATAGAGATATACTACTTGCTCTTTCTACAAGCAAACACCATTGACTTTAGGGAGTAACTCTAAGTGTACTCAAAGAAATGAAATCTTTACATGGTTTGAATAAAATTTTTATCTTAATTACAAACAGTTTTTTAGAAAACATGTGACCATATCATTCTAAAAGATCTCAAGCTAATTGTAGACAAGACCATTCATTCAATTCCATCTGTGCCAATTTTCTCCCTGTATCATAAATACTGTTTAATCTGACATCTCACTTTCAGACATGTCAGCCTCACATTTGCATCCTAGAAGACAGAACATGTCATTTCAAATGTGAACAGTAAAGACTTAGACTGTAGCTACCATAAAGATTAGCCTTTCACTCTATTTTATTTCTGTATCCTATTTCTCTCCTTAAAAGGAATCCATAGTATTAGCAGCTGCAGGAGCTTAAAATGGTACCTCATTGTGAGATGGTGAACTTAGGAGGCCAAATAGTCATGGTAAGATTACTGATGAACTTTTATCTCTGACGAGCAATGAAGAATCTCCCTGTGGAGTACTATGAAAACATCATAGCAGATGCTTTAGTTTAGACAGTAACAATTATTCTGGATTCTTATGTTTGAAAAACATGTATAATAACTTCACTGTCAGGTGAGAAATCAGTAAAACTCTTTTGGCTTTTGAATTTTGAATAGCATAATGCT